GAAACATCTACCAAGAAAAATCTACAAAAATTGGGAAGAAAGGTGAGTTCTACGGTATTTGCCATTTGACCATTCCTCTTCCTCTTCCCAGGTAATTGAGGTGCAGACTCCACTCCCTACCACTGTGGCCAAACAACACAAGACTCCCTATTCCCACTACTCCCAGACACAGGAATGACTTTCCCAGGAAAGAGAAGACATGAATGTGTCTCATCCTGTTTCAGGAAGTAGGGGTTCCCCTCCTTCACTCACCACCCTTTGTGAAATGGAAGCTCTACTATGGGTGTGGGTCTGCTGGGAATCCTGGGGCTTCAACCACCTTTGCCCAGCTCATGAGATGGTAGTTCCACACCAGGAGAGGCAGCTCAAAGAGACTTCATGCGACTGCTCACATGCATATTCATCTTCTCTAATGGGGGTGTCCTTTAGAAGTGTATGGTTGCACCCTTCCCAGCTCAAGAGCCCTGGCTGAGAGATTCTGCCTGGGTGAAAAAGAAGCAAGGAGTAAAACAAATAGTCCCTAACCTCTTCCTATGAACAGAGAGAGCATGGAGCAGTTCAAGCCTCAAGAGACTTCTAAGGAACAGCAGAGGCTATAAGGAAAGGCAATTGGGAGAAGATGTTCAAGATGATACCAGCTAAGCTACAGGCCAGACAGTCTGCAAGAGAGAACCAAACAAAGAAGCTGCTAGGAAGGACCCTACTAGGATCAGCACAAGCAATAAACACCCCAGAAACTAATCCTTTAGAGGACCCCAAATTTGATTAGTCTACAAAACAATTTATGTACCCCTAGGTAGTATTGTCAGGGAACAAGGATAGGAGCTCTGCCAAAATTACTGTCATTCCTGGAGACTGTGGACATACTCAAACCTTCACCTCCATAAGAATTAACATCAGAGTTTCAACACTGTGGAAGAGTGGAGASGGGAAGGAATAGACTTCATGAAAATAATCTAGCAAGTCAGTAAACATATAAACAAGCAATTAATAATTACAAGTTTCTGAAAGTGGTA